TAGATACTGTCTAAAATACTTTATTAGCACCAAGTTTATGATCGGTATCTACAGATTGAACCTCGCCAGATACTAGCTTACTAGTTTTCTAACCGGTCCCAAGTCCAGGTAAAGAGGGAGGGTTGGAGCGTGGTGCTAGCAACTCCACCCCTGTAAAGCAACCAAATCGCTACAGAAACTTCAACGAATAAATATATTAAAAATTCTAAAAACATAAGCAATAGCCTTACTTTTCGCTGGAATTGGGGAAGTGAAATGACGCAGGCTGGTGAAAGCCTTCGGAAAGCCAGTCAGTCAGCCGATGTGCCTTCTTTCGATGAAAGCAAAAGTAAGGATGGGTACCTGGAATGTTCGTACAATGTACGAAACTGGAAAGGCTGCCCAGATAGCCGCTGAAATGAGAAGGTATAGAATAGAAGTGTTGGGAATCTGCGAGTGCAGATGGAACGGAACTGGAAGGTGCCAACTACCTACTGGAGAGACAGTAATCTTTTCCGGCCACCCAGAGGACAACCATGAGCACACCGAGGGAGTGGCCATCATGATGTCACCAACAGCACCCAAAGCTCTCATGCAGTGGGAACCAATCTCCTCCAGGATAATGACAGCCAGGTTCAACTCAAAAGGAAGGAAAGTTACAGTCATTCAATATTATGCGCCTACAAACGTCTCAGAACAAGAGAAGAAGGAGGCGTTCTACAGACAACTACAAGCAATAATGGACAACGTCCCAAATGGCGATATCAAAATCCTGATGGGCGACATGAATGCGAAGCTGGGAGGAGACAACACAGGAAGAGAACTCACCATGGGTCGTGAGGCCCTCGGTGAAATGAACGACAATGGTGAACTCTTCTCAGACTTCTGCGCCTTCAATGATTTGGTGATTGGTGGTAGTGTGTTCAAACACAAGGATATACACAAGACGACATGGATTTCACCAGATGGAAACACCAAGAACCAAATAGACTTCATCTCAATTTCAAGAAAGTGGAGACGGAGCCTACTGGACACAAGGTCAAGGAGAGGAGCAGATGTGGGTTCAGACCACTATCTAGTAGAAGGGACTTTCAAGGTGAAACTAAAAGCCTCGAGGATAGCTGGGGATAGGCCACAATGCAAGTTCAACACTCAAAACTGAAGGACACAACCACAAAGGACACTTTCACTGCAACTGTCAGAGCAAAGCAGGAAACACTACGCGACATCACTGAAGAATCATGCGTGGAAGAACATTGGAAGTCTCTGAAGGCGATTCTCAACGAAACGTGTTCAACGGTTCTAGGAAGAAAGAAGAGACAAGACAAGGAATGGCTCTCAACGGACACTTGGAAATTAATAGAAGAGAGGAGAATGGTGAAAGAGAAAATGATTCAATGCAAGGACGGACAGGAGAAGGAGACGATGAGCTCAACTTACACAGCACTGGACAAAGAAGTGAAGAAGAGTGCTAGGAAGGACAAAAGACGATTCTACGACAACCTCGCCACTGAAGCTGAGAAGGCAGCAGGCAAAAGGGACCTGAGGACACTACGTCAGATAACCAAATCTCTATCCGGGAAGAGATCAACACAAGCGAAACCTATAAAAGACAGCCAAGGGAACCCAATTACCAAGGAAGAAAAAGAGATTAAACAATGGGCGGATCACTTCAAAGGACTCTTGAACCGACCATCACCTGCAACCCGTCCAGAAATACCAACAACAGCGCGCACACAACTGCAAGTTGACACCAATCCTCCAACGAAAGCTGAAGTCTTGAACGCAATCAAGCTTCTGAAAGCTGGAAAAGCAGCCGGACCAGATGGAATACCACCTGAAGCACTGAAAGCGGACCCAGAGACTACAGCAGACATGCTGACTCCATTATTGCAAAAGGTCTGGAAGGAGGGAAAGGTGCCTACTGACTGGAGGAAAGGTTACCTCGTGAAACTACCAAAGAAGGGCGACTTAGGCCCACTCTGCAAGAACTGGCGAGGAATCATGCTCCTGTCGACGCCAAGTAAAATCCTGAGTCGCATCATCCTGGAGAGATTAAAGGACGCACTGGAGACAGAACTCCGACCAGAACAAGCTGGATTCAGGAAAGGCAAATCATGTACTGACCAAATTGCAACTCTACGCATCATCACCACAGAACAAAGCATGGAATGGAGATCAAACCTCTACCTCAACTTTATAGACTTTGAGAAGGCCTTCGACAGCGTTGACCGTGAAGTAATTTGGAAATTACTCGAGTACTATGGCGTACCCCAAATATTCATCAACCTTATTCAACAGCTGTACGACAACGGCACATGTCAAGTGATCCACAACGGAAAACTCAGCAAGGCGTTTGGAGTAAACACAGGAGTCAGACAAGTGTGCTTATTATCTATCACCAATGATATTCCTAATTGTGGTGGAGTGACTGGATTATGCGTCAGACAGTGGGAAACGAGAAGACAGGAATATCCTGGACCGACGTGAAGAACCTAGAAGACCTGGATTTCGCCGATGATTTATGTTTGATGTCACACACGATCGAAGACTTACAAGCGAAAACCGACAAACTGGTCGAAGAAGGAACCGGCGAAGACAGGACTCCAGGTAAACATAGACAAGACGGAGGTTATGGAAATAATCAACCAACAACAGCAACAGAACATCCAGCGTCAATCACCATCAACGGGAGGGATCTGAAAGAGGTTACTTCATTCACTTATCTAGGGAGCATTGTCTCAACTACGGGAGGAACGGACGAGGATATCAAATCAATCGAGAATGGGGAAGGCGAGAAACACATTCATCAACCTGAAATCAATCTGGAAATCTTCGTCATTCAGCCAGCATCAACAAAAAAATTCGGTCGGATTTTCAATACAAACGTCAAGTGAGTCAGTTCTTCTATACGGATCAGAAACTTGGTGGGCGGGTCACAAAGAATATTCCCAACAGCCTGTTGCAGAACTTTATTAACAACTGCCTTCGCTGGCTCTCTACTGAAGATCAGATGACCGGAAAGAATCACCAACAAGAAACTATGGCTGGGAACAAACAAAACAAGAACCAGTCGCCAGCCAACAAATATGCAGGAGAAAGTGGAGATGGATCGGACACTTGCTCGCTAAGGAGGCCGGTTGGTGACATCGCGCGTCAAGCCCTCGAGTGGAACCCGAAAGGGAAGCGGCGTGTGGGACGTCGGTGCAAGGGTGACATGGAGGAGATCGTGTGAAGAGGAGTTGAAAGAATATGGACTAACATGGATACAGGCGAAAAGTACAGCAGAAGACAGAAGCAAATGGAGACGTGCAGTTGAAGCCAAATGTTCTATTAGGAACCCAAGGGAGCAATAATAATAATAATCTACAGATTGTATGTACTAAAATAGAAATAGAAATTGTCTCCGTTCGTCCAGGATGATGTTCACAAATTCGGTGATGAATGTGCTTAGTTGTAAGCATGATGTACAAACTAACTATTAGGTGCACATATAGTAGATTAGCGCCACTAACAACCACTTCGTTTGAAGATATCGACCGTCAGTAGTGACGGTGCGTAAAGGTTGACCATATATATATATATATATATATATATATATTATTTTCATGAATTGCCCTGTTTACGAAAATCATCTTTTCGTGTGTGTGTATGTTTCATGTGGAATAACAATTGTACAGAGTCACTCAGTTTAGCATTAATTTCAAAAATCTTGAAGAATAAGTGTCCAACTGTCCAATAAACATTATTATGCTTTCAATAGAAGAGGAAGGCGACATGGAATACAGATAATTATACATTTTCTCTACATATTTATTTGTATTCTCTTAATGTGTTGATTGCTATATTAGTGAGTTGTAACTTGTTCTCACTAACTATATTACAAATACACTCATATATAGTTGTCGGGTTTCATGCTACTAGTACTACTAATTGTCTGTCTTTAGTAGTTAACAACATTGCGTGTGTTCAGTTACTTATATTGTAGTATTCGAATACATATTTTACAATTTATTCGTGTATTCCTCTACTTGTACTTATTCAATCTTTTTGAATCAAGATTGTCTAAATTCTACGAAACCAGACTAGAAGAACGACATCTACACATGAATGATTGTAAATCTAAGCGCTGTAGACATTCCTTTATTATGTATTTGGGTGTTTGAGTTTGATTCTTGACGGTAGTTAACTAATAAACACAAGGCATAAGGTAGAATAACAGGCATACGTTGAACTGCATGATCTGGACATCACAGGTGATTTATGTCTGATGTCATACAAACTTGAAGATTTACAGGCGAAAATACCAACAAGTTGGCAGAAGCAGCAGCGAAGACAGGACTTCAAGTGAACATAGAGAAAGACAGAGGTGATGAAAATACTCGATCACCAACCAATCAATATCATCAACGGGAGAAATTTTTAATGAAGTCACTTGTTTGAGTAGCGACATTTCAACTATAGGCGGCTAAAGTGAGGGTGTCATAGCCAGCGCCAGGATCATCGGGAAAGCAAAACAGACATTTGTTAATCTGAAATCAGTGTGCGAAGTCTGCTGTACTCAGCATGAGGAAATAATATTTGGATTTCCAACACTAATGTCCAGTCAGTGGTTCTATCTGATTCAGGGACCTGGCGCATGACGGAAAGCATTTCCAACAAGCTACACAGTTTCACCAACAGCTTCATTCATTCCATACTGAAGATCAAATGGCCACCCGGAAAGGAACGAACCAATCAGAAACTTATTGTCCAACAAAGACGTTGAAGAAAATAAGGATGGACTGAGCATACGCTGAGGGGATCATCGAGTAACAACATGAACCACTCAGACATCCGAGTAGAATCGGAATGAGAAACAGCGAGTTAGATATGATAGAATGAAGTAGAAGAGTTCGTATTAGAAGGAACTGAAAGCTGAATACAAATTAATCCTTGTTCTTCTTGTTCTTCTTCTTTCAAATTGTTTTTATTCTGATGAAGCAATTCACAATGTTCTGTTTTTTCAATTTCTGTTTTAGGTCTTTAATCTTGACTATGGAGGTCCTCTACCAGGTTTATATTGTTTTCGTCATTTAGTTTCATATAAAGTACTTGTTTGTGGTGGAGATGGTACAGTAGGCTGGACATTATCATGTCTGGATATTGTTGGACAAGATGCTGCATGTAATGCTCCACCGATTGCTCCATTACCTCTTGGTACTGGAAATGATTTATCACGTGTTCTTCGATGGGGTTCTGGTTACTCGTCAGCTGATGATCCTTTAACTATTCTCAAAGATGTTGTCGCTGCAGAAGAAGTGAAATTGGATCGGTACTTGAAAATTTTATTATTTGTCTTTTTTCTTAATGTAAATTCATTTTCTTTTTTTTGTGCAATCTGAGGGAACAAAATTATTAACAACAGACATGCTGAATTGGGTAACTTGGCATATATATATATATATATATATATATATATATATATATCAAATATGCTGATTGTCGTTTCTTCACGGAATATTTGAACTCATTTACCCGGATCGGACTTTTCAAGCACCAGATTAAGAGTCACGTGACGGGCTGTTGGATAATATCTGGGGTGAATTAGGTGAAACGGGATTCAAACCCATCTATCACCAATTGGTTGAAAACTAAGCGTTTACGGTAATGAGCCACATCTCTACATTTCTTGACTAAGGGGATTCGACTACCAAACAACTGTTCTATCCTTCATTATCAGTGTAGATGCGAAGCGATTCTCAAATAATAGAGAGAATTTACAGTTCAGATGGATGTTTATAATATGATTGTATATTTTTGAGCTGAGTGATTTAATTGCGGAGCTTTCATTGTTCTCTTAGACAACATCATCAGTGCTTATATAATTCACATTGAACTAAGCATTGAAAGGCAACGTAAAAGTTTCACAGGTAGGTCGACCACCAAAATCAGGGAACAATATCATCCCAAAGAATGAAATGATTCACCTGAAAGTGTTTAATTGGTCAGATTATTTTACTGTAACTGGCGAGTTACTTATTTTGGTATAAAGTGTAATTCTGATTAATATTTTTTCCAGATATTGTTCTTGTTGTTGTCCTTTTTGGTGGTAAAATGAAAAGTATGAACATGACAGAATTAAAACCAGTGATTTACGAACTTTTTACCATAAAGCAGTCTTGTCGACTTAGAGTATGCATGTGATATATTTGTTGTCTTCTGTTGTTTTTTTTCTTCTTCTGAATGCCTTGAACGGAAATCTTCGAGTGTTGAGTATGAGATTCACTACTGTCAAATGTTAAATGATGCTACAGGAACGATTTGTACTGATTCCCTAGTTTAAACATAAGGAGTGAAAGAGTTGAATATGCTGACGACTTCACTGTATTTGTTATTAAGTCAAATTAACCCTAATGGACTGATGGATGAAGAAGTCTCAGAGTGGATACGAAAGAATCGTGTGGTATATGTTAATTTACGTCATCCCTGGCGTAGACTTGGTATTTGCGTATCGATGAATGGACGTTCACTTCCTCGTTCTTTATGACTGTGATGTGTAGCTGTTAAAGGTGGAAGACTTGAAGAGACTGAGTGTCAATGACCATAAGTGTTCGCGTCCTGTTTCCTGTGTTAAATGATATACTATAGTGAGTAGTATCGAGGTTAGGCGTAAAGTGTTAGGCAAGGAGGGAAAGTCGATCCAACAATTGATGTTGTGAAGCTGCATCAGCGGGCAATGTTAGTCAACATACGATTAGGTTGAGAAGGCGTGAAGGGGTGATCACATCAAAACATTAGTCAGTCTGTAGTGCCTCATATTTAAATTACCACCTCATCTTGTATCTTCTGGTTTGATAAGTTATCAATTTCACCTTTGTTTTTGATTTATTCAACATTTTATAGTTGGACGTTGATTGTTCGACCAGAAGAAGATTTTAAAGATGAAGCGAAATTAGCCCTAGAATTGCAAACCAATGCATCGAATACAAATGAAGAGAATTCTATTATGATTATTATGAATAATTATTTCGGTATTGGTATTGATGCTGATTTAGCACTAGACTTTCATAATGCACGATCAGAGAATCCATCAAAATTTAACAGCCGGTAAATTCTGTTTTCTCTTTTTGTTGGTGTTGTCGTTGTTGTCGCATTAACATAGCAACAAAGTTGTATTATGATTAGAAATTGTAAATTCTAGATAACATTTACGTAATTAATACATTACAGGAAGTGTCAATCACGGGTACACTACGTAATTGTTATCTGAAAATTACAATTTTAATCATAAAACTTTGTAAAAAAAGAAAAAAATAACACTCCTCTTGTTGCTATGACAAACTGCATGCATACTTGTAGTCTGTTATAGGATTTAATCACAGTGTGAAGTTGATAAGTTCTATTGCAATGCACTAAATTATGAAAATACACATAATGGGCATGAATAATACAGGCGCTGTGTGTAAATTGAAGTCTCTGGTTGGATTTGTATGATAGTTGTTTTGTGTTGTTTCATTCTGACTATGCTAACTAGTCCATGTGATGTAACTTCTGATCACATAGTGATTTCAACTAGAGCTCTATGAAATCTTTTGTCTCAATTATCAGATGGTTGTTATGGCGGATTGGTAAATTTTAACAAAAAGGATCTAACTTGAGTAGTCAGTGTGATAACTGAAGTATATTTGCAAACCAGCACTGATTCCAAGGACAAGTGACTTGTCGAAATTTGATCAGTTTCAATTTTTATGACAGAATAATATCAGTTGGTGAAGGCATTTGTTTCGTCCCAGTTTTGGCTTCTTCATCAGAACGCAGCTATGACGCAATCAGGAATGGAACTCAAAACGTTCTGGTTGAGAGTCCAATGGGGTCTATCAAGTTGTATGTGGGGAAAGATACTCACTGATGTCATCAACCCTCTGCTAAAATCGGAAATCGGTGGAAGTTAAAATCCACGGGCTATTTGACTCTACTTCAGAGGCTGAATGGTAAACGAGATCGTCTAGTAACCTGAATCTCCTTGGTCCGACCCCCGGTGAGGTCATAGGTGGATGTACTACTGAAGAGTTCGAAATTAGGATGAAACGGCTGTCTAGTATTCTGTGGTTTTCAATGATTCTCTAACTGATATCAATCCGTGATCAAATTAGGAATACGGGCATAAGTAGCCATAGTTTAGAGATTGAGAAGTCACTTTTTGAATCGAGTGCTACTAAAGTTTGCTTTCTTTAAACTTGTTTTCATTTGGTTATGATAGAAGCATAACATCAAGAAAATTTTTGAATATTATAATCAACAATATTTTCACTGGTGCTTTATTTTAATTTTTTAAAATGTTTTATAGCATTCATAATAAAGGTGTTTACTTCAAAATTGGTCTACGCAAAATGATTAATCGTACTGTGTGTAAAGATTTGCATAAACAAATTGTAGTCGTTGCCGATGGAAAGATTGTAATGTTACCGCCAATTGAAGGCTTAGTTGTCCTTAATATCCTATCCTGGGGTGGTGGAGCTAATCCATGGAGTGTTGAAAAAGATGATGAATTTGTAAAGCCTACACATTATGACGGTCTACTTGAAGTTGTCGGTATCTCTGGTGTCGTTCATATGGGTCAAATTTATTCTGGTCTTGGAACTGGAATTCGTCTTGCTCAAGCAGCACATGTATGTAATGCCTTTGTGTTCATGTATTGTTATGCTGTGATATTATTTTATTGATTTTTTTTATTCCTCTACGATCCCAGTGGAACATAGGGCTTCAAACCAGAGGCCTTAAGTTTCTGTAGCAGTGGTGTTTATTTTTACAGGATAGGATTGCTAGTCTCATGTCCAACCTTCCCTCTTCATCAGTCTAATTCCTGGCTTAACGAGGTAAACGAATGCATCGGTCGAGGATCGAACCTCGGACCACATGCATGGTCGGCGAACACTTTACCACTGCAGCGATTGTGTTTGATTGGTTGGAGGTTTTCATCATGAATTGATATCAGTGGATGCGTGTTGATGAAGAGTCCTAAACTAGGAAGAAACAACTGTCCAGTACTCCCAGATTTTCCAATTGTTCTCTAACTGATATCAGCTCATGATGAAACCCTCCAACTAATTAATATTCATTTATTCCTTCCTAAGTAGAACAGAAACCTTTAGTGGAACATTTCCATAGCATCCAGTTCTTTGCTATCATTTTCAACCAGCTCTAGAACGGCCCATAAGCTTTCGTTGGTTCTTCATATATCAATCTTGGATGTCCAACTCATCACTTCTCACGTGAGGTTTCACTTGGGGCCTAAGTAGTTTACGATGTCGTTCAATAGTCTCCTAATTTCTTGTATCTAATTCACCTTCTATTGATCTCTGCATATTTTTGTTAAACGAGTAGGCAGAGCAGTTGATTGATTAGCTGTGAGAGTTCTTTGTTGTTTGTTCTTTCTGGACGGTTATTTGATAAACGTGTGCAGCCAGTCGCCTGTTTGAAATACTTTTAAAAAATTCAGCTTTCATTCCTTATGCTTGAGTACTGTAGATCTCCTCACCGATTTCAGAGTAGTGAATGTCTATTTTGCTTTCCGCATTGTGATTGGCTTAAACATCCTTTTTCGTACAGCTGCCTCCAGTGTTGAAACGATACTTACGTAACATATATTAAAATATTATTTATAAGTTGTATTCATAAGGATTGAAAATTTTACTCGTTATCTTTCATTCTCGATATATAGAGTGTTAACACATTACGCCCTAAAATATTGAACGACGTTCTGTTCAGTCACATGTTGTATATATGTATTTAGTCTTATTACTGGCACCAAATTTAAATAGAGTCGTATTATGCATGCCAGGAGATAGAATCACTTGGCTTCTGCAAGTTAAAACACGTGTCGACTTCCAACTCTATTCTACCCCCCACCTCTTCACTCTATGCGCAAGATAATTTATACATCACATAAAATGTGGGCGACGATCATCTGTCTACGGGATGAAAAAGGTAGGGATATAAAAGTAGTTCTCTGGGTATATATTCAACAATAAAAGTATGAACACAACAGAAACAGTATACTGATTGATTCCCTATAATTGTTCACATTAAAAGACTACGCGCCTACAAAATTTCAATGAATTATCTGAATTATCTTTGAATAACTACTGAAACAGAGATGTTTCAAGAGAGGTTGGTTATTCAATCTATATGCTGTTTTTGATATATGCGTAAAACTTGGGCATAGTAGTAGTAGTAGTATGTAATTCCGTATATTAATTTGTTTATTAGATATATCATACGGTGAAACAGTATTATTTATTCACTGGATGACGAGGTTTCGAACACAATTTATTATTGTTCATAATTATTTCATTAATTGTAATCACACGACGTCGAAACTTGGGTTTTATAGTTTTCTTTATTCTCTCCTATTTGTCGTCGTTAGGGTAGTAGAATTTTCCAGATATCTGGGTGGAGAAGTGTTGAATCATTCCTCTTACATGTGTTTGCAGCTGATTGGATAAACAAAGCCTCCGTTATCGATCTCCCCCTCTAGCCTGTTACATCAGATTTTAAAACTGTTATCTTGTCCCATCCATCCTATTGTATGGTTGTGTGTAATTGTATGTTTTGGGTGGTATAGCTGAACTATTCTCCAGATTCCTTATCTTATTCGCGTCAACTAATCTAGATTTTGCTAGGTTTTATGCTTCGCTAGTCTGATTGACCCTGTTCTACTACTTTGACCTATGTATATTTAACCTGACAATCATCTCAGGCAGGTTATTAGATAAACTAAATTGTTTTGTTTCGAAGGATCCACAGGATCCTCTAACTGATAAAGCTTATTTCTAAAGGAGTTTGTGGGTTTGAATGTCACTTTACTCCTGCATTATGAACAATAAGTTGTGTTCGAAACCTTGTCATCCAGTAAATAATACTGTTTCATTATGTGATATATCTAATAAACAAACCTATATGGAATCTCTACTTTTTAGGTGATTTACTTAGCTGTTAACTTGACGACAGGGTAAGTAGCGGTCGACTACCTCACATATGTGTAAAAATTATCAACTGGCTCATGAACTACTTGAAGACATTTCAGCAGAAGAGAACTTTAAGGGCTTGCTTAAGAATGATTTGTGGAACCACATACTGTGGTGAGAGCTGACTGCAAGCCGCAAATTGTAGACAACAATTTACGTTCCGAATCGGGGTCATGGCGACTCACCAAACAATTACAGCAGACTTAACGTGCGCAAATAAGATTCGCAGATATATGGCTTAACTTTCTGATAAACGGTCAGAATAACCTCCAGTAAGAAAACAGCCCTTGTGATCTGATGTTACAATACTACTGATTGATTGAGGTGAATAGCAGTTGTATACCACTCACATCAACCAGTAGTGTTTCTTTGCCAGATAGTCAGATTATTGAAGTGGTCTAAACACCGGAGGCCGTTTCCCTCATCTGGGGCCGAGCTTGGATTTCTGATTAATTTCCGAATTGCAAATTTGATTTAAGGTGTTATCAGTTCGCACAAGTAGCTGGTCAGAATCTGGGTAGTTTCAGGTGATTCAGCTCTCTTGGCTGAGTCAAACTTGGTACACCGTGGATGAGCTCGATATTCTAGTTGGTAAACACTACTGATTGGTATGAGTGGTATAGAACTACTCATCTTAATCAATCAGTAGTATGCATAGTTTTACGCGCTTATGCTTGCTTTCCTGATTACCATAAATTGTAATCAAGATCACAGATCATATATTATGATTTGAATAATTTTACTTTCGGAAAGGAAACTGGTAAATTTTCTCCACCTCGTACTGCGTAGATTGCAAATCACCAACGTACTTTGGATTCATGATTAACTAGAGTGCTCTTCAGCGATATCAAGAAATACAGTCGACTAATAGTGGTATAGTGGTTAGGACTCTCGCCGACCATGCACATGGTCCAAGGTTCGATCCCCTGCCGACGCACACCTGATATCTATGGTTGGCCTGCAAAATTTGGGCTACCGATATCCATGCTGAAAATTCCATACTTGTACCAAAAATACAGTGTGGAATAAAGCTGTAAATAAAAAAACTATGTATATTGCACTCTACTATTGTTTGTATGTCTATCAGATCTTGTCTCTGAAAGAAGAATGTATGAAAAGGTTGACTAGTTTTGGTTTATGAGTGTCGTCAATATCTCGTCCATAAGAATAGACAGTTTCATGTGTTACTTCATATCAAACATTGGTTATCTGAATACATTGGCTGCAAGTTCACTGACTTCGGTGTTACACAGATTTCGTGTCATTATCGCAAATAAATCTTGTTGATCACTGCTAACAAGTTGATTCTATGCTTCAGATACCTGATAGTGAATAATATTGACCAAGGTAAATCAGTCGATGTTTGGAGTGAGTCTTCATTGAGTGAATGAATAATTTAGCTGTTACACGTTTTATCGCTCCATGATCCCCTGTGTGTCTTCTCTGATGATTAGTGTTGGCTAACTTTGGGATTAGATTGAGACTAGAAATTAGAGTTTGTCAAGGAAGCCTGTGACTATTGACTCTCGACCATTAAACATTCAATCACACACCGATGAGCTGCTTTTATTGTAAACAAAAAGGATGAAAGTATTGCCCACCGTTATTATTTTACACTTTGTACTTTCTCTCTCTCGCTCGCTCGCTGTCATTGTTTACTCTGATTAGAGGAATGCCATTGTTTGGCATTTGATTCCTTCTTGTTCTTGTTCTTCCTCTTCCCTGAACTGATTTCACACCTACTCTGCATTTTGGTAAAGTTAGACGGAATGACTGAGTTATTCTATTGAAATAATCATATAAAAGGCAAATTTATGTAATGTAGTTTGCATAATTATTTAAAATGTTGATTATACATGACAGTAGATAAAAGGAGAAGCCTTTTTTTGTATTGGATCGTCATCATCATCAGATTTCTGTTCAACTATTTAGAAATAATTTTATTAATAGCCTATATTTTTGCGATATATATGTGTACATATATCTATATAATAAAGCGTTCATTTTATTTGTTATCTTCAATCTCTCTTATATATATTGATAGACTAATTAGTTTTTCTTTTTGAATGTCATTCATCCGCTTCCCCTGCCCCACTTTCTTCTCCCTACTCTTTGAGAGTTTTGACAGCCGCTCTTCTCTTCTCTTCCCTTCTCTTTTTTCTCATCTATACTCTTGTTTAACCAACTTAAAAGTTGTCATAATACACATGTGATACTTCGTTTTCCTACAGTGTACTATTCATTTTCACGGAAAATATTCTCTCCGTCTTTTTTGTCATACATTTTACTTAAAGCTCTATTCACTACTTATTCTTTAGTGTTGTATTAGTAGTAGTAGATGATTTTGAAATATAAAAAAAAACTGATACCAGATAGGGAGCTATTGAAAACCTTTAAAGCATATGCATCTATGACTCCGTGTTGGGTGATAAAAGGAAAGTTAATCGATAAAATTGTGAAGCCTATATCAATTGAGATAGCTGGAATATATGCTGGACATTTTGAGCCGTTGTCATCCTCGAGAAGTAATGTTATCTGCCATAGGATTAGGTTAGTAAAGAGTAAAAGGATGGGGACTGGGTCACACCAGAACCTAACATCAGTCCATGAAGTCTCTAACAGTTGGTTTGAGCTAGCCACGTAGGAGGGTGTAAACAGTCTCGCTGCCTGTGGTCTGCAGGATGCTACGAACCATTGCCTTGAGATCTGATAATATGACTCAAGACGGTTCTCAGTAGGCTCCTTATAATCTCCCAGAGATATTTCTCATGTTTTTCTTTCTCGCGAGTATTTCTGTTCGTCATTGTTCGTCTAAGACTTTCTTTTACCTTTGTGTGCTACTTGGAATGTGACAATTTCATCTGGTGCACTTCTGTGTTGACACTGAAACAGTCAAATATGTGACTAGTGGAAATCGGACACAAAACCAATAGGCTATGAGTGTAATCTGGATATGTCTTTAGCCACTGGAATGGAATCGAATGGTCCATGGAGTTTAATCTCTATCTATTCGCTAGCCAGTGTCATCGGCGAGTATTTCTCCCCACATCTGACTTGATGGATCCTACTGTTGAATCACTTCTCGGTAGAACTCTAGATAACTTTATGCCATACCTCACCGGTCGGTGGGGAGCAGATAGCTGGATTAACTTTCATGTGTTGATTTTCTTCAGGGATTTGATTGATTTCTCGTTAGATCGCAAATCAATATTTATTTGGAAATGGTGTAGTTATGAGCTGAATACAATATGCCATCAAGTAATACGTTAATAATAATAATAATTTCACTGTTTAATTCTATCTGTATTTCTCTATTTTTCCTTATTGTAATTTTTGCTTAGTTGAAAATTTTGCTCAAGTCTGAATTACCTATTCAAGTTGACGGTGAACCGTTTATTCATCCACCTGGTCAAATCACTGTATTACGATCTGCATTGAGAGTAAGTTTTGAAATGTCATGTTTGTGTGCAAAAGGAAAAAAAATTGTTTCCTACATTAATTTTGTACTTTTTAGTGTAGTGCAGTTTGCTGTTTTAAAGCATTCCTCCTCTTTAAAAAAAAATCATCAATTTACTTCAACTAGAGACCCTCTAAAAATCACCACAGAGTACTGAACAGCTGTTTCATCCTAGTTTGGGATCCTTCAACACTACGCATTTATAAGGACCTTTAGGCTGCAAAGAGAGCTCGTTTACCATTCCGTCTCTGGAATGGATTCCAATGGTCTATCAATTCTAGCTTCTGCCAGTTCCTCTTATTTTTTTGTTTTTGTTTATGAGGGTGGGATAATCAGTGGTCGGAATGAAATAATTTCTCGAATATCACTTGTATAGAGTATAGCTAATCGGTTCGTCAGCTCTCGACCTTGAGGAAGTGAACACTGGTTTCTAATCCCGCTGTGTCTGCTGTGTTCAGTCAGTCGTCAAACAATACGTTGCGACTCATATCCTGCACATGTACACATGCAAAGACTATTCCAGATACTTTGAGCTTTAAGTGTCTAAACGTTCAATACATAATCAAATCAAGATTGTAGTTCACCCTTGACATATTATTCTCTCCATCTAGTCAAATGAATTACATGACTTCATTCATGATTACTGTTTAGTGATAAGTTGAACTTGTTTATAAAATAACATCGTGAACCACTGAGCGAGTGTTTCGTCTTAGTTTAACAATCATCAGTACTGTTCACTCCTGCACCAGTAGTCATCAAAGTGGCCGCAAGTACCTTAGGTTTATCTGATGAGGTGTATACTTTTATAATTTGAATCAAATGCTGACTAGTCTAGCAATTGAAAATCATATAATTGCATTTGTGCTCAAAGATATTTTAACGCTATAGCGTATTTGTGTAGTCGAATTGTTTAGATAAGTGCGAATTACTGATTACATTGCACTAGTCAATCCTTGAAGTGGTTTGAATATACGTCTCTTTATGCTATTTGATTGATGGTAGCCATCTGCAGAACCCAGGATAGACATCCCATCGTATACCTGAAAGTATCTGCATTTCTTAAGTCAGCAATAGTGTGTGTACCCACTGTTGTTTCAAACACTGGGCCACAGGATCCACCTTTTTCGCGGCAGCTATCAGTTGTAATCTGAATTTCCCGGATCGAAATACTCACTCTCTTGATGACATTAGATGGTTGGAGGCCATCGGCCACTGGAAGCCTTGGACCTAGGTTTCGTGCCAGTTGGCGCTCACCAGTCAGCAAGGCGTTTCTGCAGCTCTGAAGGAACTCATGCCCCTTCTGAGGTTTGAACCTGCGTCACATAGTGGTGCAGTGAGAGACCTTACCACTGAGCTATTTGGACTCGTGATTGACCTCCTTCCTGTAGGACTGTATTGGATACTTTGATTGGACACTAGTCAGTAACTAGTGTGATGTGTCTATTCCTTTTTTTGGTGCAGACTGAATTCTATGAGTCAGTCAGGTTTACAATGTGGCCATTATTCTAGGTAGCTCGCCATCACGGTACAGCACTAGGTGACGCCGGTTCGAATCTCAGAAGGGAAATGAGGTCTTTCTATGTTGCAGATACCCCTTGCTGAGGAGTGCCAACTAGAACGAAACCTAGGTCCAAGGTTTCCTTCCGATTGCCAATCAATGTACATCGTGATGACGAGCTACACAGAAAGGTAGCCATATTTCAAATCTGACTGACTGATAGAATTCAGTGTGCACCAAAGAGAGGACTAGATACATCGCACTAGTTACTAGTGTCCAATCAAAATACTCAGTCTCTGTTGACTTGTCGGATTATAGAACGATTACACTGACGATTTGTGAAGACACCATCATCAAGCAAATAATATCATGTTAATTTTCAGACACTGTCGATGCAATTGTTCTAAGAGCTGACTAACTAGTTGGTTCATTATAAGTTATTCAATGTGTATCACAAATTAACTTCAAGAAAAAGCGACTAGTAACTTTTGCATAAGAGGCTGGTTCTCATGACACTGTGGGTGACTCCTTGACGTTTGAAAAAACATTATTTCCTGGAAATGCGTTTTTTTTCCAAACTTTTCTGCTTTATTTTTAACCTTCCAATCAATATAATCTTTATTTATCTTTTTTTTTTATCTATGTATAATGTTTAGGCTAATATGTTGCGTAAAGTTAAACGACCTAAAAAACGTACTGGCATAGAAGACTATGGAGTAAGTCAGTTATCATCGGTAGAACAGTATCAACAACAACAACAACAACACCAGTTACAAAGGCATAGAAAGTTAACACAACAACATTCAAGTTCACAATTACCAGATTTCACTTCATTAGTTGACTCATCAACACTAACAAATACTTCAGAGTATTCAAGACAAAAACCTCAATTATTGTCTATAACTCAGAAAGGCGAAACATTGGATCCAGCGTACATTAACAACAACAAACACAATAACAATACACCTACATGTAGTAATCGACAGACAATTAAACCAGTCGTGGGGAAATCAACATCTATCGTGTTTGATGATACATCTAGTGCTGTGAAATCGGATAATAACAGTAAAAATAAACAGTTAGCTCATATTCACAGTGACTCCTGTGGTGGTGATGATGATGGTGACGATCGTGATTGTGATTCCAATCTGTGTCAAACACTTCATCAAATATGTTTAGATGATATCGTTAATAATGACAATAACAATTAATAATTATAGTAATAGTAATAATAATAATGATCATAATAATAATAATAGTTTCTCTTCATTGTCAACCAAAACCTGTCTTCATTGCCACGCCCATACTACACCCTGTTGTCTGATGATCATTGTGATGATGACACCTTATACTGTGGCATAACTTAACTCATCTTTTGGTTCATCCCTTTATAATAAATATCATATACATATACACATATATAAACTAATATGGTTATCACCATACATACAATAATAATATATTAACCATGCATATATAATTCTTTCATTCTTCAATTTCACTGAAAGATATATTCATATTTTGTATAGAATTCGATGTGTGTGTGTGTGTGCTTGTGGGTCTGCGTGAGTGAGTGGGTGAGTGTATATATATATTTCCGATTATATGCTAAATGGGCTTAGGAACAAAGCGACAAAACCATTCATGTGCATGCTTGTTATATAAGACATCTCTATTATTATTGTTATTATAATTATTAATATTATAACTATTGTATATCAACGAGTGATTCACAGTTTCGTGGTATACCATTTTCCCTTCACACAGATTATTAATCTATCTATCTATCTACCTACTCAATGAATCTAATAATTCTCATTCAAGAGACTATATTTGTGTGTGTATATTAAATCATAAAGTGAACCATTTTCTTTTTCTTGTATTGTATGTTGTTGTTGTTGTTTTTGTTCGAGTTGGTTAGTGCGGGTGGGGGAGCGGGTGTCGGAAGGTTGACAAATGGTGAATTTAGTGTTTTCCTTTTTCTTTTCCCTTCTTCTTTATTTTGTTTTCTGCAGTTGTGCTCTCCCATCGAAATTTTTGTCTGTTTGTGTGTGTGTGTTCTGTATTTCCTGAAATGAATAGTAGGCCAATTGTATTTTCTCTTTTAATTTCATTTATTTTGATGATCATTACTATTATTAAGTAGTATTTAATAGTAGTAGTATTACAAATAATTTTAAATCAAAATCATGATTTATATATATATATATATGAACTTGTTATGCAATAAGGCATAGATCACTTTTCTCATTTTTATTCACTAATATTTATCAGTAGTAGAGATAGAGGTTTATGAAACTACTATTATTGTCCCACTTACTGTTGCGTATGTCGAGGAGAGAGGAGAAAAAGCAGAAGCAGACGAAGAAGGCCTGCACATGTTGTCCTGACGAATTCACTGTTATTCACTGTAGGCATTTAATATAGTTGTGATATATATAATGTACTGATTTCGTTATAATATTTATATAATGCACTCTTTTTATTAATTATTAATGTCAGTGCTATGATTATCTTTGTTTCGTCCCACCCCTTCCCACCGTTTCACTCACTCTCTCCTTATTTACCTTTCACATTACACTCTTCTGTATATTTATTTGAAATGGTATGTAGTTAAACTTTTTTTTGTTTGTATAGAATTGAATGTCTCTGTTTCGTTTTCTTTTGTTGTTTTTTTATTTCGTGATTGTGGGGTTATAAATTTTGGATGGGGTTTTGTGCGTCGGTTGTTCAGTGCTTGTTGAATCAGTGGGCACCACTCACACGGGGGGAAGTTCCAGATTCACTTGTCGTCTAACTGACTGACTCACTCACTCACTCACAAACCTCGACTCTAGTTGTTTACTTAGCCTTACTGTAGTAAGTTCAAAATAGAAGGGGAAGGTTTGATGTGAATTCAGCAGCCTTATACCCTACAAAAAACAGGCAACACCGTTACACTGAAATTCAAAGCTGGAAACCTTATGTTCTACTCAGAAGGGTTAAGAAATGAAAAAAATTTGATAACTGATGAAGTTGACTATAGTTAATAACTCTTGCAGAGGCTTTCTGGTGACATGTTAGTTATCTGTGATATGTATATATATATATATATATATATATATATATATATATATATATATATATATATTTAACCAGGCTAAGTCAAGTGGAGTAAGTTTCGAAATCACGAGCTGTTGACTGTGAAAGCGAAATGTCTAAGCCAATGAGTCATTTCTCCGTACAGGTTTTATTATGTTATCCAACCACGTAGTATAAACACTAGAAGTTGCTTCTTACTAAACCTCTCTCAGTTAATATATAATGTAGTTATTTTTTCCATATGACATACTTAAGAGTAGATACATTTCAGTCGCGTGCAGTCGGTTGTATTTGTGAAAATTTAGGAATTAATATTAACTAACAGCAGTCTAGTAGTTGGCATAAAGCTGCTTGTTTAGTTAATGAAACACTGTGTTGTAGTAAAATTCATAGTCCAAGGAATATTAAACAGCCATTTTAAGAGATGAAAGATGGCGATGGTTCTGCAAGATACCCTGTATACAGACGCGAGTGGCTATCCTGTAACAGTCAAAGTACTTCTTCTGGGAAGACCAGCGACAAATCAAAACACCAGATTCATCGTATGAAATACGAGATATGTTTCGGGATCAGAAACGTAGAGCGATGACTATTGTCTTAACTAGCTAGGGTTCGTGGACGAACGACTCAGCATAACACGACAGCTAAACAAATCGACGTAAGCAGTGACTGTTCAGTGAAGAGTGCTGTAGATTAGCAATATTTTGGAATTATTTACCGCTACTCTATGAAGTAATCAGTTTCACACACACTGAACTGCGAAAGTGATGTAATATTCATAAACTACTATGTTCGAACGCAGGAAAATTGATCTTTGAGTCCTACTATATAGCTGACCAACACTTCCTTGACTTACCTACAGTCACAAAATTCAACCCCCTAATGATTGCAAAAATAGAGTTATTTCCAATAAAATCCGATGTACTCTTCAACAATCATAATATATCAAAACGTAGAATTATCTCAACAGTACCGTTAGGCACCTATACAGATTCTTGAGTATAGAACAAGTACTGTACAGCAGAATTATTTGACTTATATCAACCGTATGAAGTAACTCAGAATATTCCCAACAAGGCTGAATCGAAACACTCAGTAAGAATCATGCACCGAACAATTCGCGCAAACAGTCTAAAGTCAGAATGACATTGACTCACTCATACAAAATTGTAGTCGTAAAACAACATATTTTTAATATCAACACACAAGCACAAAGAGAAGTATTAAAATCACAAATTAAACGGGGGCAAAGACAAATAATAAGCATTAAGTCAACAGATGATATGCAAAAGTCAGAACAATGATATACAGTCCAAGAGGAGAGAGGATCATAATTATAGAGCAGTATCGTAAATGTGTCGTTCAGGAAGGATCTTCCAGGCAGTTATTCCATTACACCTATAAGTTAACAAAAATGTGGAAGAGTCCCAAACTAGGACGAAACAGCTGTCCAGTACTCCCAGGTTTTCCAGTGGTTCTCTAACTGATGTCAGCTCATGGTGAAATCCTCTATGCAAAAATGTGGAAGTAAAAAGAGGTGGACTGAAGATAGTACTTGGGAACTAACAGTATCTCAGCTTGCTTCATTCATTTGTATATTAATCCGAAACAATTCATATTATTATTATCATTCCGGGTTGATCGCGGATTAATATCACTCAGAGAACCATTGAAAACCAGGAAGTAATAGACAGTTATTTCAACCTAATTTGGGAATCATCGGCAGCACGCACCCGCCTCCAGGGTTCGAACCCAGGACCTTACGGTTACAAGGCAACCTCCCAGACCATTCAGCCACTAGGACCTGTAACAGTGGCCAGCCCATGAATTCTAATCCTTACAAACCAACTAGAGAAAACTAATCTGATGCTCGCTAGTGACTTGCTACAGGACGGAGTTCTAGTGAGAAGCCGTGACCAATGAGGTCCATTCAGTCAAGTGTAGGCATGGATGTCCAGCCATTAGCATTGGTTAGTGGTCGAGCTAAATCACGAATTGGTAGAAATTAGAAATCATAGGTTGGCCATTGGATCGGATCCCAATGGCTGGATGAAATACGAGCTAGCTTGACTTGTAACCGGAAGGTCCTGGGTTCAAGCCCTGGTGGTGGATGCGTACTTACTTACTTACTTTACTTCGGCTATCTCCTACGGGAGGATGAGCCGGCTTCATGAACGTCTCGAATCATCGCTGCCCAGGCGCGGCAATTTGTAAGAGAGTTCATGAAGTTTCATGGGAATTTGGTACGAGTGATGTCCCCAGCATCGCTCGGCCTTTTGTTTGAGAGTGCAGCTCTAGCCTTCACACAGCCAAGTGTGACCTACAAGGCAGTAGGAGTGGAGTAAGGAGTCCACTATCCATTGGCAGCCGATGACCGGAGTTCGGTTCATACGCCTTTTTGAATGGGGCCAGACATCCAGGACATCCAAAAAGCCCTTTGTCCATACGTCTGCCGGTGAGCTCCAGTGAGCTTCATACGCCAATCGTTGGAGGTTTGGAATCAGGGTTTAGCCATCTCCCCTAGACTGTCATCCAATGGACAGTCAACCCGGTGGAGAGCGCCGGGCATCCGCTTTTGCCCTCTCACTTTAGTGAGAAACACCTCCGCCACGTGAAGGCAGTGAATAGGACTTCCTCAGGAGAGGCTATGTAAGACGCCCGGTCATATGGGAGCATTTCAAGAGGTGTGCGGAGGGGTGGCCAACCCGCAGCGCAAGGCACCCACCCCCGACCATCCTGAGGCTTTGGAGGTGCGTACTACCGATGATTCCCAAACTAGGCTGAGGAAACAGCTGGTTTTTATTGGTTCTCTAACTGATATTTATCCGTGGTCAACTCGTAAAAACAAATGTAATCTTTGCAGACCAACTATAGAATATTGCTATTTCCCTTGGTTCCACGTAAACATTTGGTTTCAGTAGCATATTCACTCTTTTCGCTGCACGATTGTGCACACGCTTTCATTTCTTCCTCATATTATCTTCTTCATGTCATTTTCGAACACCCAACTTGCTGTTTCTCACCTGGATTCCACTTGACGGCCTCGTCTAGTTCACCAGCTAGTCGTTAGCTTGGAAAATGAGGGAAGGTTGAACGTGGATCTACCAACTCTACTCCGGAAAATCAAATCTATCGCTACAAAAACTAAAGGACCAAAAGGAATTACACTTCGCTGGAATCATAGAGACTGATAAAATCCTTCAGGGTGTCATTTAGCTGGTGTCTTCACTCGATGAGACCAAAAATAAGTTTCGAAACATACAACATATGCACGACAGTGGCAAGGCTGATCAGGTTGCAAAAGAAATGAGGAGATATACCATAGAAGTGCTAGGAATCTGTGAGAGCAGGTGGAATGGAAGTGGACTCTCCAGATTGTTTAACTGTAAAGTCAAAAATCTACTCTTGTCATCCAGACGACAAGTACACCGAGTTGGGGGTTATCATGATATCACTAAAAGCAGCCAAGGCTCTTATGCAGTGTGAACCAATCTCCTTCAAGATAATGACAGTAAGAGTCAACTCAGAACAAAGGGAATTTACAATCATATAGTGTTGTGCACTTTCGAACAAATCAGAAATAGGTGTAATGATAAGTTCTACGGACAGCTTTGAAAAGTAACGTACAAGACCCCAGCCAAACAGTGACATCAAACTCTAAATGTTGGTATAAATGCCAGGCAAACTAGGAGCAGACAAAACAGGTAGAGAATTCATCATGGGTCAAGGGGGTTTCGGCTAATTTAATCCCGATGAAGAACTATATCAGAACTTATTTGGCTTCCGTGATTAAATAATTCCAGGTAGCATACACAAGTACAAGGATATCAACAAGGTGACACACCAAAAATCAGATAGATTTCTGGTAACGGATTAACAATAGTCATAAGTAAGCAAAGTGGTTGCGCCAGGGTAAAATAACTAGGCATCCTATAGATATTGAGGTTGAAATAAGTAATCTAAGCATAACGTCTTCACTATAGAGTATTAACATTTATTTCATCGTCAAGAAATGCTTCCCACCAAAAGCACACAGTCAATATTCACAGTTAAATGTTAAAATCTGATATTTTGTGTAAACTGTTATAAATTAACCAGAATGATGAAGTGTTTTTTATTGTTTGATTGGAACCAAGACGCACATTTCACTCCATTTGGGAACTGTTGGTCAACTGGTCACATCTGTATTCCGGTGAGTGATGTTCTTCCTTGAAAGAATGTTTACTGAACAAAGAATACTCTTCATCAGGTTCTTTACTTATATATACATAACAGTGAATGAATGAGTTATGAACAACATTATTGTTGTTTAAATGACATCTAATCAATAATATTGATAGATTACAGTTCAATAGCATTAACATAACAATAAACTGAATATCAGAAAAACTAGGAGAGATGATAACACAAATTCATGAATTTGTAGTGTCCCCTGAAAGTCGGCCAGGGTAGTAGTAGTGGCTGGACTTGCTTCTTTTGCACACAAAGCGAATCGCGATAGCCTCTCCTGTTTGAAACATGTGGTAAATAGTTGTTTTTGGCAATTTATTTGGTAGCCGGTAGATGATAGAGAAGGATTCTTCAATGCTGACTTTGTGACCTGTTTGGATCCGATGGCCTAATGTCAAACTGTTGATGGTTTTAACTACACCTTTACTTAGGCATTCTGGTAGATTTTCCCGA